TCGCGATAATACGTAAAAAATCCTGTCCCCTTGAAAAAAACTCGTTAATTCGTAAAAATTCCATACATTTGCCGCCTTTATGTCGCTATGCATTATGAATTTTGTGTTTCTCTCGCTGTTTTCTTTTAGTTTGCTGATTTTTTTTTCGGAGAGTAACATCGTTCTGTGAAAATGTCACAAAAACGTACGCAAAAGACGTTATCAATAGCGCAAAAACAAAGCATTATTTCGGCGATTGATAATGGAACAAAGAAAATTGAGGTGGCAAAACAATTCGATGTCGCTCCGTCAACAATAACATCAATTCTACAGAAAAAGGAGTTTATAATGCAAGCCAATTTTGGAAGAAGTTTTGCCCAACAATTCTGAAAGTGACGAGGATGATGACGTCGATGGAGAAGAAATTTTAACGAATTTACAAGCCAGAGCATTAATTCCTCAATTTAAACATTATTTTCGACCCATGACGTGCCAAAAAGTGTCTTTGACAACCTAAAAGGCTTAGAAAACGCAATGGAAAAAATAAAAGAAAAAAAACACCGAGCAATCAAAAATTACCAATTATTTAAAGCTTGAATTTTTGTTTTTTATAATTTAATGTTTCTGCTTAATTGTTTAATTTTTTGTTACTATAATTTTATGTTATTGTTTTATTTTCCTTTAATTTGAAAAACGTACAAATGAATGTACATACTTATAATGTTTGTTTAATTCTAATTTTAATTAAAAACCCCGTTTATTCGACTCTTTCATTTTTGAGCCCCGTTAAATAGAAATCTCGATAAATCCAATTCCTGTCTAATTCGTAAAAAAAGTGATCCCCTTGCCATTTCGAACTCGACTGTATAAAAAGCTGTTTCATAAGTTCAGTACAAATTTAAACAAAACAGTTTTCTTACTAAAAGTACCGACAACTAGCTCGTGGCTGCGCCACCTTCGTTAGCCTCGTAACATTCCCCACCTCGTAATTCTTCTTTGTGGTTACGGTGGGTATTGTCAGTTGTGCGAACTAAAGACAAGTGAAGTAAAGACAAGTGTCATTTTCGGATATTATCGCAAAAGTTATTCCGGTGCCTGACAGCATCTTAACTTGTACGCCTCGGCGAGCAGTGAACCGTTTCTAAGCCACCAGGAGTGAGTCTTTAGAAAAAGATATACGGATCTCCAAATGGAGAGCACGAACTGTTAAACAGATGAATAACAGTCCCCATCTTTTCGACCGTCGTCTTTAAACGACAATTTCCATTGTTCAGAAATAAACCATCAAGACGTTCCTTCGGTAAATTTTCCATTGTTGTTAGTCTCAGACCTAGTATCCAATAGTTGCCGAATTTCGTTTACAACAATCTCTCCGTGAAGATGATGACATTTGACTTGCCAATACTCTACTATTAGATTCGTTACTCGGTGGTTTCGTGGAAGGATGATCGGATGATTGACGTTCACACCCAAGTTTTCAATAGCTTCGATTCGACCTTAAATTCGAACCAATCCGGCTGGGTCAATAAATGGCGAATGATTGAAATAAGGCTTTTCCGGCTAGTTATGCAGTTCCTTTCCCTGGACCTATCGGCTGAAAGCACAGCATACGGTTGATCCGTAAAGCTCCTTTTTTCGCGTAGAGCTTATCACCTAGCTTACTTTTTGTCTGCCGCACACACTGTATGCTGTACTGATTAAGCTTAAACTTAAGGGCCGCGTTCCCTATCTAACTAGCGGTTTAACAGTGCCAGAGCGGGGTCCGAGAGGTATAGCACGAACTAGCTGTCCCCCAGCCGTCTCTTACCGTGGAGAGGAGAGCGGGTGCTCGTGAATTTGTGTGCGCGAAGAGCGCAAGAGCGGCAAAGCTTTTAGAAGATCGGTGGGCAGAGGCAGCGTAGCGGCCGTCGCAAAGGGCTGAAGAGAACAATGGATGACATCCCGTTAAAGGAATAAATAAAAAATATATACGTACACAACAAAAAATTCTTGTGAGTTGAATCTACAATTTTTTTGGGTTGAATTGACAATCAAATACCGTCACCCTTACGTATTATTACGTATCAGATTATGCGTGTTTTTTTTGTTGTTGGCTTTTCGAACTGCAAATGACTGTCAACTGCAGTGGGGTTACTGAAGGTTTTACGTACAAAATGTAGAAGAGTAGAAGAGTATTTCTTGTTCTTGTTTGGTCTAGGGTATATATTTGTATTCCCTAGGTAAGTATTAAATAAATTACTTACCAGAGACATAAATTTAAACAATTTTTTAATTTTTAATTTAAATCCAAAACTTTTTCTGCCTACTACGATAAATTCTAGTATATTTATGGCCAATTATTGGTATTTTAATTGGTTTCCTTAATAGCTTTAAGGCAGTCAGTCTTAGCTCTTTCGCAACATTTCGGAAACTTTACTTGTGGAAATATGAATAAAAGTTAAATAAAATGAAGTGAAAAATATTTTAACTCAGTGATTGCAACGGTCAGGAAGCGGATTTCTATGATGTATTTGAGAAGTGGAAATATGGCCACTTTTTCCAGGTAAGTACCATTTTATGCAAGTTTCTGTGAGTACGATGCGCAATACATATGTACATATGTATGTACCCTGCAGCACCTGAATTCATCAACAAATTCATCAACAATTCATCGATGTTTCGTCAACGATTCATCGGTGTTTCATCCACAAAATTCATCGACGGCCGGGTTATGGTACTGCCGACTACTGCCGTCTAGACTACCGCCGTAACTATATCGTGGGCAGAGCGTTGTAGTAGAAGTCGAAGTCGGCAGAGCGTCGACTCGGTAGAAGTCGCAGTCGGCAGAGCGTCGCCTCGATAGAAGTTGTAGTCGGCGCGTTGATGACGGTCGATGATGACATGCGGTACTGCAGGGTACATAACAAACATATATGTATGTTAGTAGCCGTTGATGAATTGTTAATGAATTGTTGATGATTAATTGATAAATTGTTGATTAATTATTGATGATTTATCGATGAAATCGTTGATAAATTTGTTCATTAATTGTTGATGATTCATTGATGAATTGTTGTTGATGAAGGCCTAGGACATGTCCATGTTAAATTCATCAACAATTTGTATGGCCATTAATCGATGAATAAACAACAACACCGCCTTGACTGTGGATGAATCGTTGATTAATTACTTTTGAATAGTACTGCAGCGTTAATATATGTACATATGTATGAGCACATATGTTTACAAACAGTCAACTTCAGTATATTTATAAAAATTTGTATATATTTGGTTTTAAATGTTTTTTAACTAGTTGAATGTTGTCTATTTTATTTTCAGTGGATTTACATTGGATATACCAACTCTTCGAGACAATAAGGACCTGAAGCAATTATTTGAGACTTAACATATTTAAAACTAGAAAGGAAGCTAACTTCGGCACGCCGAAGTTTATATACCCTTGCAGATAGAACTTCGATTACTAGGAATCCATACAATATTAATAATATATATTTTTGATAAAAAACAATGAATTAATACGTGTTTTCATTTCATTCACCTATACATATTATATTTTCAGTTTTATATTCGAGATTTGCATGTTTGCTCCACATCTAACGATCGTTTGTATGGCACCTATATGATATAGTCGTCCGATTTTCATAAAATAAAATGATGTTAAAAACTTAATATGTTATATTTTTTTTTTTTTAATTTTCCGATCATTCCTATGGCAGCTATATGATTTAGTCGTCCGATCCGGTCCGTTCCGACATATATACGAGTGAGAGTATATAGAAGGCTAACTATAAAGTTTCATTCAGATAGCTTCAAAACTGAGAGATTAGTTTGCGGAGAAACGGACAGACGGACATGGCTAGATCGACTCGACTGTTGATCCTGATCAAGAATATATATACTTTATATAGTCGCAGGTGCCTTCATTTAGTGCGTTGCAGACTTCTGACTGAAATTATAATACCCTGCAAGGGTATAAAAATAGCAATTTAATTTTTAGAAAATAAAAAAAATTATATACATTTTAAACGTTTTTTCTTTTTATTTGGGTGTAAATTTTTACTGTATATATGGTATTTAACAGTATTCTGCGGTTATCTTCAGTTAAACTGTTAAAAACTGTAATTAGCTGTAATAGCTCACAGTGAATCAAGATTTTGGGATGAGGATATTTAACTGCAGAATTGATTCGATTTACTGCAGGAATTTTTTCTGTGTATGATTAAAAAGTCTTATCACATACAGATTTAAATACTTTTGGATTTACTCGGTTTGCCTCAATCGTGACCACAATTAAATCTCAAAAATAAACATAAATAAAAAATAATTTATGATAAAAAGTTCAGATTTATATATAATTTTAATCACCCAGAGTAACCACGGCATGATTCCTTTAAATAAGCTTGGTCAGCTGCTAAAAAAACAAATTTGGTTGTTTGATTAAACAGAGCGGAGAGGAGCTCAAAACTTATAAGCTGTTGTTTTAACAAAGTTAGCAGGAAAACTCTTGAACACTTTAATTTTTGTTCAGCTAAAAAAGATTTTGGAAGTATGAAGAATTTTTTGCGTTGTCCAGCTAACTAACTATCAACTAAGCAGGAAAATTTTTTGTTGTTAAAGGATAATAATAAAAACTTCCAGGAGTTGCCCTGCAAACTTCATATCAGCTTAGCATGACCTGAACAAATTTAACGGCAAATTGTTCTTTCTATTAATAAGTAAAGGATAATTAAGTCCATGACATGATCAGTTTTTACATTTTTAGCAACGAATATTTATGTTACATTCTGGATGCAGCAAATGTCAAAACTTAAAAATTCAAATTAAACGAGTATGAAAATTCTCTGCCTATGCCTGTGTGGCTAACTAACACTTTAACCTAACTTTTCGAATCGCAATACTAACAATCTAATTTTTAAAAGTGTGCATACTATAGGAAAACATGTACATATATTTAATACCTATTTGCCCAATCACAAATTTTAAATTTAATATACATATATTTATTTGTTTTTTTTTTTCAGGGTGCTGGCTTTTTGAGCTTCAACAACATAGACCAGAATAATTTGCCCCATATTTTAAATCAAGCTGTGACCTTGTTTCGGAAAGCCCTGGAAGTTGAGACCCAGGATAAAGTTATTTGCTGCATTTTGGAAATGTTTGCCTTGTGGACTCAAAAGTTCAGAAACGAATTACCTATTGTCATTATAAACATTTTTAAAAGTGGTATCAAGCAAAAACACTCAAATCAAATAAGGCAAAGTTATCTTGAATGGTTTCTGCTGTCGGTAAAAAATACAAAGATGGCCAACCCTAGCTGTATAGTACCAGATCTAATATCTTTATATACTAAAGCATTACAAAATTCATCTCAGTTTAGTAACTTGTCTGAAGCAGCCTGCATTGCCTGTATACTGCTTATATTGGAAGAGCCAAACGAAAGCGAATTTTTTTTTTGGTCTACAGTTTTTGATATGAACAAAAAATACTTCTTTAACGAAAAATTTATTGCAACAGCTTCAATTGAGACACTGTGTAATTTATCATTGATGAGTAAAATATTGCTAAATTCCTATTCTGAAAAAATTAAAGGAGACTTGTGTCCCTTAATTCGTGCTCTAATTTATAACTTGTGCAATAATTCTTTGAAGGTTAGAACATTTACAATGTTGGAGATTCGACAGATAATAAATGGTTCAAAAGGAGTAGAGTTCATAAGGTTAGCTTTATCTGAATTTGATAAACGAATTAATTCGATCACCATTCAAAATGATGGTGATATTTCGATCGATCAATTCGGAACACCGACGCAAGCATATGTTGATGCTTTACAAGTTTTAACAAGTTTAACGCAAATTAAGCATCATGAATCTATTGCAGTTGCTGAAGATCTATTACTTATTTCAAATCATCCTGCAATCGTGTTAAATAATCAGCATTTATGGGAAAACACAATCGAACAGAACTTTAAAATATGTCCTCAAGACTTCATATTAGAAAAAAAATATATATCCTTGATAAATATATCGAAAATTTTAAACCTTCGGCGTCATACGAAAATACCATATCAGCACTTGTTCGTATTTCTCCCAGTGTGATAATTCCCTTAGTAGTTCTGCATTTAAAAAACTATCTATGTAATTCAAAACATTATGACGCTTCCAATGAGGAATACTTAACATATTTGACTCCTGAAGGCGAGTTATATGATAAGAGCGTAATTCCTCACATAGACTCACAGTATGATACTGTTCGTATTAAACGAGAAAACAAAGTATATAGCTACAAAGAACAATTGGAAGAGATCCAACTGCGACGTGAAATTGATGAGAAAAGGCAGAAGGAAGGAAAATCAAAAACTATCAAACTTACTCAAAAACAAGAGGAACAAATAAAAAATCAAGCAGAAAAGGAGCTACGCATAAGATTGCGCTTAAGCCAATTACATGAAAAACTGATTTCAAAAATACACTTGCTTAAATCATCATGTAATGGAAATGGTAAACAGCTCGCACTACATTTTTATACTTTGTTAAATGATATTTTAAAAGCTTCGAAAAGCCCTTTAAGTGCAAAGCTCCTTACAGATCTATATTTATTTCTGCATACTATGTGCTTTAAACTGCACCCAAAGCTTGGTCGTACTATTGCGCTAGCCACAATAAAACTTCAGAATCCGTCATGTCTATTAGGAGAGGAATATGAAGAATTAAATTTACATAACGCTATCCCAGATATTATTCTTGATCTTGACAATTATGTGAAATCCAGTCTTTTGGACTCGCCATCATTTTCGTATGCATTTGAATTTATAAAGCGGGCAATATTGTTTTTGAACATTGATTCAAATACTGAACTTATTTCGAAATGCATTCAAATAATAGCTTCACATACCGTGGAAAGTGCTGTAACTAATTGTAACCCGAAATTTATGCCTAGATTGGGCATGTTTGAAATTTTGCTATATCTATTTAAAAACAATGCAAAACTGAGAGAACAAACCGCATCTGCTGTTATAGACGTTGCAAGATATTCATATGAAGATGCTTTTTGTGTTGAGACATATAACCAAATTATAAGTATATTTTTAGAAGTCTTGCAATATAACGTAGATCCTGTCAGAAATCTTGCATTACAAGCATTAGAAATAATGGTAGAACCAATAAAAAGACATATACAAATTGATGATAGTCTTAAACAAGAAATTACAAATAGATTCTGGATAGCAAAATTTGATTCAGCTGAAGCAAATAGGGATCTTGCCATCGATATCTGGAATAAGGCAAAATTATCTTCACCAAAATTTAGTGATGTTATTTATGATATTAAACACCCAGAACAGTGTATACAAAAATCAGCTTCAGAATCCCTTATGCCACTCATATCTGGTGATGAAATTTTAACGAAATGCGCAATAAAAACATTGTTTGCTATTTACAATGAAATGTTAACCCTTATACCACCTGTATTAGATAAATTCAACCGTGAAATCGAACCCTCTACGGATCAGTGGAAACCACGAAGAGGTGTGGCTATTGCTTTCTCTACACTCGCGCCTATTTTATGTATTGAAGATATTAATGATATAATGAATTTTATGGTGTCCCAGGGACTTGGAGACCGGAAGGATGTCGTTCACAAAGAAATGCTAGCAGCCGCATTACAAATCGTTGATATACACGGTAACAGGATAATAGTATACTTATTGCCAGTTTTTGAAGATTTCCTTGATAAAGCGCCGAAATCTCAAAGTTATGACAACATTCGGCAGGCAGTTGTTATATTAATGGGTTCGTTGGCTCGACATTTAGAAAAGAACGACAAAAGAATTGATCCTATAGTAAAGAGACTTTTAACAGCACTATCAACGCCATCCCAACAAGTCCAGGAAGCTGTATCAAATTGTTTACCGCATCTTATGTCTTCTGTAAAAGATGAAGCCCCTGCCATGATAAAAAAACTTTTACATTCTTTGGCCAAATCTGATAAATACGGTGAAAGGCGTGGAGCTGCGTATGGCATTGCTGGAATAGTTAAAGGTCTTGGAATTTTGTCCTTAAAACAACTTGATATAATGTCCAAGCTGACAACTTACATACAAGAAAAAAAAAATTATAAGTCACGCGAGGGAGCTTTATTTGCCTTTGAGGTATTATGTACTACACTAGGTCGTTTGTTCGAGCCGTATATAGTTCATGTATTACCACACCTTCTTCAGTGCTTTGGGGATTCATCACAATATGTTAGACAAGCAGCGGATGATACAGCCAAAGTTGTTATGGGTAAATTGTCCGCACATGGAGTTAAACTAGTACTTCCGTCACTTTTAGAAGCCCTTGATGAAGATTCCTGGAGAACGAAAACGGCATCTGTTGAATTGTTAGGAGCTATGGCATTTTGTGCACCAAAACAACTATCATCTTGTTTACCTAGTATAGTTCCAAAATTAATAGAAGTGTTGGGAGACTCCCACACAAAAGTACAGGAATCTGGCGCGGAAGCTCTTAAAGTAATCGGGTCTGTTATTAAAAATCCCGAGATCCAGGCCATTGTTCCTGTGCTCTTGGATGCATTAGAAGATCCCTCTAATAATACATCTACTTGCTTGCAAAGCTTACTGAAAACTAAATTCGTTCACTTTATTGACGCTCCTTCCTTAGCCCTTATCATGCCAGTGGTGCAACGTGCTTTTATGGACCGTTCTACAGAAACTAGAAAAATGGCTGCACAAATTATAGGAAATATGTATTCACTAACAGACCAAAAAGATTTAGCACCGTACCTACCTAGTATAATTCCTGGTCTAAAATCATCTTTATTAGACCCAGTGCCTGAAGTGAGAGCTGTATCTGCTCGTGCACTTGGAGCAATGGTTAAGGGTTTGGGCGAAGGTTCATTTGAAAATTTATTGCCATGGCTAATGGAAACTTTAACTTCAGAGTCAAGCAGTGTGGATCGCAGTGGAGCAGCACAAGGCCTTTCTGAGGTAGTTGGAGGACTTGGAGTCGAGAAAATGCATAAACTTATGCCGGAAATTATTACGACTGCTGAAAGAATCGATATTGCTCCACACGTAAAAGATGGATATATAATGATGTTTATATACATGCCAGGAGCTTTTCCAGAAGAATTTACGCCATATATCGGTCAAATTATAAATCCAATTTTAAAAGCATTAGCAGACGAAAGCGAATATGTGAGGGAAACAGCACTAAAGGCTGGTCAGCGAATTGTTAACTTATATGCTGAGACAGCAGTGGCCCTTTTACTTCCTGAACTTGAAAAAGGATTATTTGATGATAATTGGCGCATCAGATATAGCTCAGTGCAATTACTAGGAGATTTGTTATATCGTATTTCAGGAGTATCTGGAAAGATGACTACAGAAACAGCAAGCGAAGACGATAATTTCGGAACTGAACATTCACACACTGCTATTATTCGATTTTTAGGCGATGAACGTAGGAACCGGGTATTATCCGGACTTTACATGGGTCGTAGTGACGTTTCGTTAATGGTCCGACAAGCTGCGCTACATGTATGGAAGGTAGTTGTGACAAATACTCCAAGAACACTGCGCGAAATTCTTCCCACATTGTTTGGTTTACTTTTGGGATGTTTGGCAAGTACCAGCTTTGACAAAAGACAAGTGGCCGCACGAACATTGGGCGATTTAGTTCGAAAACTAGGTGAAAGAGTTTTACCCGAAATTATTCCTATTCTTGAAAATGGATTAAACTCTGATCACCCAGATCAACGACAAGGGGTATGTATAGGCTTATCGGAAATAATGGGATCTACATCAAAAGAAATGGTTTTCACATTTGTGAATAGTTTGGTTCCTACAGTACGCAAGGCCTTGTGCGACCCCTTACCAGAAGTTAGAGAAGCTGCCGCAAAAACATTTGAATCCTTGCATAGTACAGTTGGCTCACGTGCATTAGATGACATTCTGCCGTATATGTTAGAAGGCCTGTCCGACCCGGACCCCTTAGTTGCCGAGAATACATTAGATGGTCTGAGACAGGTAATGTCCATTAAATCAAGGGTAGTACTACCATATCTTGTACCACAGTTAACTTCCAAACCTGTTAATACAAAAGCATTATCTATTCTGGTATCTGTTGCGGGTGACGCATTAACCAAGTACTTGCCTAAAATATTAGCTGCTCTATTAGAAGCATTATCAGAGTCTTATGGATCCCCACATGAGCAGCAAGAGATTGATTATTGCCAAACTGTCATATTATCGGTTACGGATGAAACTGGTATTAGAACAATTATGGATATATTACTTATTTCTGCAAATTCGAATGAGCTTTGCACACGGAAATCATCAGCAGGTTTGCTGTCTGCATTTTGTATTCACTCGCAAGGAAATTACTCACAATACATCCCGCAACTGTTACGATGCTTAGTTAGATTAATGGTTGACAACGATAAGGATATATTACAGAAGTCATGGGAAGCTCTTAACGCTGTTATTAAAGGTCTAAATTCAGTACAACAAATTAATCACGTATCTGATGTTCGTCAGGCAGTGAGGTTTGCAGCTAGTGAGTTAAAAGGCCCAGAGCTACCAGGTTTCTGTTTGCCTAAGGGAATTACTCCTCTTTTGCCGGTTTTCCGAGAAGCTATTTTAAATGGTTTGCCAGAGGAAAAAGAAAACGCAGCACAAGGTTTAGGTGAAGTAATTTTTCTAACTAATGCACAATCTCTTCAACCCTCTGTCGTGCATATAACTGGCCCGCTAATAAGAATATTAGGGGACCGTTTTAATGCTGCAGTTAAAGCAGCTGTATTAGAAACATTGGCCATATTGCTTAATAAAGTTGGAGTTATATTAAAACAATTTTTACCACAGCTCCAGACCACTTTTCTGAAAGCGCTGCATGATCAAAACAGAAACGTAAGAATGAAAGCTGGAAAAGCAATCTCAGAGTTAGTTGCGATTCACTCAAGAGCAGATCCATTATTTAATGAAATTCATAATGGCATAAAAAATTCAGATGATTCCTCTATTAGAGAAACAATGTTACATGCTCTTCGAAGTATTCTGAGTCCTTTTGGAGATAAAATGACTGAGCCGATAAAAAAACAGATTTATTTTACCTTATTAAGTATGATCGGTCATCAAGAAGACGTCACTCGAAAATGTGTTGCTGGATGCCTGGGAGCCATGTTAAAGTACATAACGGCAGTGCAAGTGGATAATTTATTTAATACTTTAATACTACCTGATAATACAGATGATATATTAGTTAAACATGGATATACTGTAGTTTTGTTCGTTGCTTTAAAAGAATGCCCCAATGAAGTGCTTACGACAAACCTAAAAGAAAAAGTAACTTTATATGTTCTGGCCAATATTTTATCAGACAAAGTGCTGATTGCTTGCAATGCTATCAGAGCTGCCACCTACTATGTGGAGTATTTTATAGTTAATGATTATAAACCTCCAATTAATGTGATAGTTGCACTAGCAAGAGCTATGAATCATAGCAGTAATGATGTCAAACAATTGGTCCCGAAAAGTTGTACTTATCTTTCCAAAAGTTTAATAACCTACCAATTTAATCTCGATGTTTTGAAGTGTCTGGTACCTATGTTAGTAAATGGCACTAAGGAAAAGAATGGATATGTGAAATCGAATTCTGAGCTTGCATTAATATCTATTTTAAGATTACGAACTGATGACTCCACTCTTACGAAAATTTCAGATATCTTAGATTCGGGTGCTAAAGACTCGTTAAATGACGTTGTAACAAAAGTCTTAAAACGCACAGCGTCCCAGGCAACAGTTAAAGAAGAAGAATTAGATGATACATTACTAACATAATGATTAAACTTTTGAATTGTAATACATAAAATTTGATAAAAATAAATGTTAAAACTATTGAAATATTTTGAAAATATACTATTTTTATATTATACTTGATCTTATGTATTTACGTAATGTCTTTTAAGGGATTACACCTAGTTAAAGTTTGTAATTTAAATGTTTTTCTTTGCATGGTCTTATAAACTTAATCAGAAATTGGCAACGCAATGAAGGAGTCGTTTCGGATCCCATTAGGTATATATATTTTGGATTCACTTAGGTATCTAAATGGAACCTTGTATATGAGCATCATCCTATCGGATGTAGTATATACATCGGAACCGGTGACTATATCATAGAGCTGCCATAATAACGATCGGGAAATTTATTAAGATATTAATATTTTGTATTCTAGAATCTGTTTTTTTTTCCTACTACTATATTATACAAATTTTAACGTCGATTAAAAACATTTTTGTCATCTATTCTGAAATATGAACGGTTTATTATTTGTTTAATTTGGGATTTTAATTAATTTATAAGAAGTTTATGGTCAGGGTCTTTACAGTATATAATTATATATTATCAAGATCCTGAGCCCTTTCCTGTCGTTGGTGTTTGATATCTGGGAAAATTGATGCAACAAATATTTATGAAGACGATTCTGATTATAGTTTCAAATGCCTTCTCTCCATAAGTTTGATTAAGTTTTCTTTTCCATGGCTTGCCACCACACTAAGACTCCATAACCAAAGTCGAACTCACCACCGATATGCATTGCATTAGAGCGCGTGAGCGACCCTATTTGCTACTAAGCATCTTTGATGCGTATGGCGCTATGGTGGCCTTTTGCACCATCTCTAGTACATTGGGTTTCCATGCTAGCTTCGAGATATTTGACTTATGTTTTCGGGATCAGCCTGGTTGTTTTCCTGATAAAACGGCAGCTGAGAAATTCCAATTTCTCAAAATTCCTGAAAATTTTCCATACGCGTTCTTTTTTTGTGCACAGCCATATTACTCAGTGAGATTTTTTTTAGCGAACAAGAAACAACTGCATTTAATTTCACCCTTACGGCGTTGAAATAATTAAACATTTGATAATTTTTGGTACTAACAATTAGGTCAATAACCGTCAATAGATCCTGAATATGAATTTAAGCCTACACGGGTGCGACTGCGATTGTTTTTTGTCCACGGCCGTGTTGTTGTTCTTGTCGTTTGGTTCTTTTGAGTTCCGCACATACACGCTGCTTCGCCGACTGTAAAACAAACATACTTTTTTCTACCGAACAAAAGCCAAGGGTTTAGTTCCACCTTTCCGGGTCCGTTATAAATAAAACTGAGACTTATTTATTACGTGCTATTAATAATTTCCTAAATTAGTAATTCATTAATTTTTTATTACGGGATAAATCCAAAACTCGGAAAGTTTTACTATAAATTTCCATATAAGATAAAGAGACTACTACGTCGGTTCCTCCGTCTTTTTCTTATTTATTTCAGGGGTTTTGTTATTTTTTTACATTTGCAGGGTAATATGTCAGAAGTTTGCAACGCAGTAAAGGAGGCATCTCCGACCATATAAGCTATGTCCGTCTGTCCGTTTCTACGCAAACTAGTCTCTCAGTTTTGAAGCTATCTGAATGAAACTTTGTAGTTAGTTCTTTATACTTTCACTCGTATATACATATGTCGGAACGGGCCGGATCGGACGACTATATCATATAGCTTCTATAGAAATAATCAGAAAATTTGTACAAAAAAACAATAGAATTTAATCAAATTTGAGATATATATATTTTTTATAATTCTACAGTTTTGTATAAAATTGTATGAAAATCGAACTACTATATCATATAGCTTCCATAGGAGTGATCGAGAAATTAATAAATTAAAAATTATAACTTCAGTTTTCAACAGATTTTCATCATTTTTTATTATTCTACAAGTTTGTGTCAAAATTTATGGAAATCGGACGACTATATCATATAAGTGCCATACAAACGATCGTTAAATATAGAGGAAAAATGCAAATCTGTGAATTTAAAACTGTAAATATAATATTTGTGGATGAATTAAATGAAAGCAGGTATTACTTCATTGTTTTTTGACGAAGTTAGCTTCCTTTCTAGTTTTTTATATTTTATTAAACTAAGGCTAACCTCTTGGCCAAATCTCTCCACCTGCTCTGGTGTGAGCGTATTCGTTTATGTTCTAATTTCTTCGAGTCTGTAGACAAATCTGAGAAACCATTAAAGACGATAAGAAACCACAGCCGATTCTATCAATCCGCCCCGTCAATCGTCCCTCTCTGCCGAAATCAAAGTCTACCGCTTTTCGCTCTTGGGCAAGCAGAGACAGTTCTTTAAATATTAGCCCAGGTTCATCGTCAAGGCTCACTCAGTCGACCACAAAAATGGATCAGACCGCCATCGACATTGTTTTGATGAAGTTCATTGCGTGTGAGTCAATTTGAGGCCAATATTCACACCAGATACGGGCACCCTGGGAAAGGGATTACGAAAATTGTTCAGAACTTATGTCGAAGCTTGGGACTGTCTACTTGTGTACTTGGTTTCCTCGAAACTTACCAAGCTGACACTTTCCATGTGGGAGCAATCCATTTATAACAAGGCCGAGATTCCAACCTGGAACGAGTTAGACGCGTTTCTGACAGAGCGCAATCGTACGCTGGAGGCCATCGTCGACATGACGCCTACCGGCTCAGGGCATTTTCCGCCACGGTCGGCAACTCCGAGCGGCCCAGAGCGCCGCATCCATTCTTTCGAAGTCAGGGTGGCTTCAGCACCCAGAGGGTGTGACTTTTGTCCCAGAAAAAACCCCCCCTTACGTTTATATCCCCGGTTTCTCGAAATGACTGTATTCGAGCGGTCAGATTTTGTCCGAAGATCGCAGCTTTGCTTACATTTTTTGGCATGAGGCCACCAGCAGCGGGATAGCTCTAATGCCCATTCTTGCCTTACACCTCTGCATCCCAGCAACTCTTCTTCTTGTTTTCAGTTTCGTCCTGAACCTTCGAGCCCAGTATCCGCATCTAACTAACCGATTTTTTCGTTCTCTGCTCGAGTTGAAACGTCAACTACTGGGTCCCATGTAACGACAACAAAAGCAGGCGTTCCACAGGCACTCACTCCTACCGTTGCCAAGTCTGCATCAAAATCCATCCGCTCCGAAAATGCGAAAATGCCAAAATGCCATCCTAAGCCTAAGTGCGGCGACGAAGCTCAGCGCGGTGGTAACCAACTGTATGGCACACGAACATTTCCAAGGCAAGTGCCTCAGTGGTGAGCGATACAAGGCGGGCAATCAGCATCACCATAGGCTCCTGCATATGCCTGGAAGTGATGGAACACCCCGTTTACGGCATGGGGTCCTTTCGTATTCCTGGTTCTCACCATTACTAATCATCATATAAGTGCTATATTTTTTCAGTCCGCTCCGAAAAGATGTCACCACTTCATGCACCGCGAACGCTCTAAAGGTCAGACGTACCAGAGGTTTTCAATCTTACCAATGCCGAGTCTGCCCGAAATCCATCTACTACAGATGTAGACGAAGCCGTCGCTTCGTTTTCGTCGTCTCTTTTGCAGCGAGTTTGTAAAGGGGACGGATATGTTGGAATCCGACTGATTGAAAAGGAGGACGGGCTAGTTCGCGCTCCACCTCTCGGGTCACGCTCTACCACTGTTAAGCTTAACTTATTGGTAGGGAGCGCGGTCCTTATGATTAAGCGTAGTCAGTTCTATGTGTGCAGCGAAAAAAAGCTGAAGCTCCGATTCTCCTACGACGCCCCCGACTTTTTTTCACCTACGGCTTTCGTTTGCGACGCGGTTTTCCTAGGCATTTTCCAAGGATTTTTTAGCGGCAGGATCGTATAAGTTGAGGCGATAACCTACACAGAAAAAAATTCTGCAGTAAATCCAATCAAATCTGTAGTTAAATGTCCTCAACCCAAAATCTTGGGTTGGATTTACTTTGAGCTGCAGTAAAAACGACGTAACGCATTCGAAGCGAATATTCAGTTCCGATCACCCTTGCCCGGTTGCGGAATGATTGCTTTTGTTCAAACGTGTTGTGTGAATTGCAAAGAATGATCGAGACTGCTCCTTGCATTCAGGCCGATCACAATCATTTATTTTGGTCAAACCTGGTTTGATTCAATCCGATTATTCCATGAAGAAGAAATTGTGTTCCTTAGAGTTTTAGGCATACTATTTGTTGAATTTTAGCTTTTAGAATATAAAATGACAAATAAATGAAGTTAATCTGTTTCAGTTAATTCTATTCATCGCAACTTCTTTTCTGCGTACATATAATTATGTACATATTTTCGGTCTGATCGGTCACCGATCATACTTAATGCAGTTCTCTGGTATGTATATAAAAATTTTTATAAACCCTTTAGTACCAAAGTTCCTTTCCTGTCCGATTTCTGGTGTCATTTTCTAAAAAGAAAAACAAATCTCATGGGTTTCGGTAAGAGAACTCCGAAACGAAGTAGGCAATGAATATTCTACTTGTGTTCGGATACTGCCAAACAATTAATTGTTATTTTAATATGGATTCGGATCAGCGGTTCCAAAATTAGATTGAGATTATGAATAATATTATTTAACGAAAAAAAAAGAATCGATAGTCTCGTTAGTGAAATCGACTTTTTGACAGCTCTAATGACAGCTGAAGTATTCACAAGTGTTTTGCAATGTAACCCTTTAGTACCATTCCTTTAGGATTCAGGTCTGAATCAGGTTGGAACCCTTCAGTACCATTCCTTTAGGATTCAGGTCTGAATCAGGTTGGAATGGACAGGGCTCCATCTTAAATCATTAGGGATCTTTTATACAAGCCATCCATACAGCAAACCTGAATTCGGACTACCCGAGGAATTTTAAGGGAATCATAAAGGAATCCTGCTAGGAATTTGACGTAAATTTCAGCACGAATTCCCCCCTGAATCAGAAAGGAATTTCGGAAGGGATTCTGAACAGAATCATACAGGAATTTGAGACGGAATCAGGCAGTAATCGTAGGGGA